TTGTTTATCTTTTCAAAGAACCAGCTCTTGGATCTGTTGATACTTTGTATTGTTTTCTCTGTTTCGATTTCATTAATTTCTGCCCTGATTTTTGTTGTTTCTTCTTGTCTGTTAGGTTTGGGTTTCATTTGTTGTTGCTTTTCAAGTGTCTTGAGTTGTAATGTTAAGTCATTTATTTGTGTTCTTTCTGTTTTTTTATGTAGGCATTTAGAGTTATAAACTTCCCTCTAAGTACAGCTTTCAGCGTGTCCCAGTGGTTTTGTCATGTTGCATTGTCATATTCATTTAGTTCCAGAAATACTTTTATTTCTTTCTTAATTTCTCTTTTGATCCATTCATCATTCAGGAGTATGTTGTTTAATCTCCATGTGTTCAAGTGGTGACTAAGGTCCCTCCAATGTTGATTGCAAGCTTTATTGCATTGTGGTCTGATAGAATGCATGGAATTATTTCAATCTTTTTGTATTTGTTGAGGTTTGTTTTGTGCCACAGTATATGGTTGATTTTGGAGAAGGTTCCATGGGGTGCTGAGTAGAAAGTATGTCCTTTGGTGCTTCAGTGGAATACTCGGTAGATGTCTGTTAGGGCCATTTGATATATGGTATTGTTTAATTCAGATGTGTCTCTCTTAACTCTCTGCCCTTTTGACCTATCTAATGGAAACAGTGGGGTATTAAAGTCCCCTACTATTAATAAGTTGGGATTAATCTGGGTCTTAAAGTCCTGAAGTATTTTTTTGATGAAGTTGGGTGCACCAGAGTTTGGTGAATATATGTTCATGACTGTAATATTGTCTTCATTTATTGTTCCTTTGATCAGAATGAAGTGGCTCTTTTTACCTCTTCTGATTAGTTTTGGTTTAAAACCTAGTCTGTGTCTTTTGACTGGGGAATTCAGTCTGTTAATATTTAATGTTACTAATGAAAGATTTGTATTGAATCCTGTCATTTCTATTTCTGTTTACATTCTTGATATAGCTGTACTTTTCTACAGTTATACCTTCATTGAATTTCTTTCTGCAACCCCTTGGGAATAGTCAGACCTTTCTTCAGCTCTTTGTATTGCTTCCAGAACTCTCTGAAGGGCTGGTTTTGTGGACATGAATTCCTTCAGCCTACTTATGTCATGAAACATTTTTGTTTCCCCTTCTACTATAATAGATATTTTGTCTGGGTATAATAATCTGGGCTGGCAAATGTTGTTGGGACATGCTGTCGTGGCCTCCATCTGCACCTCCCCCGCAGTGACCTTTTGGGCCTCGTGGTTCCTCAGTCTCAGAATTGTTTACCAGCTCATTTTCCGGTATCAGGTCCTGAGAACACCATGACCTGGCACTGACCCTGTGGTCATACAATGGCTCTTCAACCTCTGTTGGGTCAGCTGCCTTCTGGGCTAGGGTATAAAAGCAACCTGAGGCTGAGAAATAAAGGCTTCTTCTGCTACACTAAAAGTGTGATTGTCTCTTCAATCCTGACGTCCTCCACTCAGAGATCAGCTTTGTGCCACGCAGGTGTGGCATTTGGAGGTCCCACCGAGATCTGAGAAAGAGAGGTAAGCGGACAGGGTTGTCCCAGGCCAGCAGGGGCGTTATTGGGGTTACCATTGGGTAATACTAGCAGTAAATAGGAATTGTAATATCAGGTTAAGAAACTGCTAGAAGAACAAGGAACAGCAGTAAAAACAAAGACAGTAGACACATTCATTAAAACAATAGCAGAGGCCAGTCCCTGGTTCCTAACTGGAGGGGGACTAAATATCCCTGACTGGGAACAAGTAAGATGGGATTGTCAAAAGAAGTTGCAAAAAGGAAGGCAGTGATACCTTCCCAATAGCTACATTTTCTTTGTGGCGCCTGGTTAGAGACGCTTTATTAACAGACAAAGTGAAAGTAAGACAAGAACTTAAGGTGTAGAGGAAGTTTTACAAAAAATACAGGAGGTGGAAACCCGCTGCTCTTTGGGATCTGCTGATGCTCTAGACCAGGAAAGAGGGGCATGTGGAGGTTCAGGAGTCTTAAGCTCTGCCACATCAAGACCACATAAACTGGGTCCCTATGACCCTGAATCTCCTGAAAGTAGTGAGGGAAGCTCAGAGGAAGAGGAGGAGGAGATGCTTCACAGGGAAATACAGGAACTAAAAACAAAATTAAAACATATCAGGTTAAAGGAAAAGACACATCATCCTCCTCCCTTGGCTCCACCCATGGAAGAGTGGTGGTGGAGGTCACCAGACTACAAAAATGATGAAGAGCCAAGGGTCAGGGTGCGTTTCGGGCTGCATATTGTAGCACCAGTAATAGAAGTTCCGGACCCTAACCAACAAGGTCAGGCACAACGACAACATCTTGCGCTGCAGTTTAAAGACCTAAAAAGCCTTAAAGAGGCTGTGGCGACCTACGGGGTCCAGGCCGCTTTTACTATGACCATGGTGGAGTCATATACTTCCCAAAATTTAACACCCAGTGATTGGCAGCAGCTATGCTGCGTGGTCCTGTCGGGAGGAGATTATCTCTTGTGGTGGGGAGAGTACCAAGAACAATGTCTACAAGTGACTCGATTAAATGCTCAGGCAGGGCTGGCTCAGTGAGATCTAGACATGTTAACTGGGGCAGGGGCCTATGCCCCACTACAACAGCAAATACAATATGATCCAGCAGTATATGCCCAGATAGCTGCCTGCGCTGTTAAGGCATGGAAGGCTTTGCCTAATAAAGCCGCTGGAGATCAATTATCAAAGGTACTACAGGGGCCATCAGAACCATTCCATGAATTTGTGGACAGCCTCCTGCAATTGGCGCGACGAATGTTTGTAGAGGTAACTACAGCCATGCCCATAGTCAAGCAACTTGCATATGAAAATGCTAATAAGTATTGTAAGGAAGTCCTGAGGTCACATAGGTCAAAAACCTTAAATGACTACATCAGATTATGCAGCGATATAGATGGTAACTTCGTGCAAGGCCAGGTCCTAGCAGCTGCCCTGCATCCACAAAACTCAAAGGGTCCTAGAATTTTAAATAATGGTGACCGTAATTGCTTTAACTGTGGATGCCCAGGCCACTTCTGCAGAGACTGTCCCCAGCACAAGAGAGAGGGAAGAGTACCTGGTATATGTCCAAGATGCCAAAAGAGGGCACATTGGGCTAACAATTGTCGCTCCAAGACTGATGTAAATGGAATATCCCTGCCACCCCTATCTAGTCAACAACAGGGAAATGGGCAGAGGGCCCTGCTCCAGGGCCCCAGAACCACAGTGTATGGAGCAATGGCACCAGGCTACCGCGGAACTTTCCCGGGCAGTGGCCGTACAATTCCTTCCGCAGAGCAATCCTTTCGTGTTGCAGACCTCAACAGGGAAACGGGCGGAGGGCCCCACTCCAGGGCCCCAGAACTACAGTTTATGGAGCAATGGCACCAGGCTACCACGAAACTTTCCCGGGCAGTGGCCGTATACAATTCCTTTCGTGTTGCAGACCTCGCCCAGGAGACAGCAGAAAGCGCAGGATTGGACCTCTGTCCCTCCGCCCGAGCAATCTTAACTCCCCAAATGGGAGTTCAGGCTCTTCCCACAAATGTGTATGGTCCCTTGCCACCGGGATCGGTGGGTTTAATTTTGGGAAGGAGCAGCACAATTATCAAGGGCATACAAATACATCCCAGAATAATTGATTCTGATTACGAAGGGGAAATTAAAATTATGACATCTGCCAGAGAAGGAGTTGTGATAATTCCACGGGGGAGCGCATTGCCCAATTAATCTTGATCCCCTATCTAAAGTCCAACAATGCAGTTGGCAGACAAGTCCACGGTGACTGGGGATTTGGTTCCTTGGGACCTGCTGCATTCTGGGTTGCTCAGCTAACTGATCGGCCTATCTTAAAAATCAAAATAGAAGGAAAATTATTTGAAGGTATTTTAGATATAGGAGCAGATATATCAGTCTTGTCTTTAAAATCCTGGCCTAAGACGTGGCCCTTGGAGGATGGTAATGCTCGACTAGAGGGCATAGGACAAGCAACCCTCAACAAGAGTGCTAAAATACTGAAGTGGGAGGATGATGAAGGACATACAGGGTTTTTCCAGCCTTATGTTCTTGCTGACTTGCCAGTTAATCTGTGGAGCCGGGATCTTTTAGCTGAGATTGGAGCAGTAATAACTACACAACCCCCTTCTGTGGACTCAGAAAAGGCCATTAGAATGATGCAAACCAGGGGATGGCGTCCGGGGATGGGCTTGGGGATGCACATGCAAGGCAGGGTGACCCCCATGACCCCTAAGGATCAAATTATATGCCTCCTCGGAGATAGAACGGGCCTAGGACATTTTTAGCTCGGGTTGCTGCTCCATCACCCACACCCATACCTATAAAATGGCACTCAGATAAACCTGTATGGGTCGAGCAGTATCCCCTAACTACAGAGAAATTGTGGGCAGCTCATGCTCTAGTACAAGAGCAATTGCTTGCTGGACATATTGTGCCTTCTACCTCTCCCTGGAATACCCCTATCTTTATCATAAAGAAAAAATCTGGAAAATGGAGGCTTCTGCAGGATCTTCGAGTGGTAAATGCTACGATGCAAATCATGGGACCATTGCAACAGGGTTTGCCTTCTCCAGTAGCAATTCCCAAAGATTGGCAGTTGATAGTTATTGATTTAAAAGATTCCATTTTTACAATCCCTTTACATCCTGATGATTGCTGTTGATTTGCCTTTAATCTACCTGCCACCAATTTTTCTAAGCCTGCCTTACGTTATCACTGGGTGGTTCTACCTCAAGGTATGGCAAATAGTCCAACTATATGTCAGGCATACATTGCAGCTACATTGGAACCTATTAGAATAAAATATCCTGACCTTTATATAATTCATTATATGGATGATATATTGCTAGCCGCTAAAAATACCAAAGAACTACAAGAGGCATTTGCTGAGATGCAACGAG